TTTTTATAAAGACAGATGTTTTTTTTAGAAATGAATTATATGTTTGATAAACTTAACTAAATGTTCACTTATATTTAAAAATACAAGGTAGCTTTAAAGTCCGATGGGTCAAAGCACATTGAACTGAGCGTGACATCAATTATTCCATGACTTCTGCAGATAATTCCCTTTAATTTGACACAACAATCGTCAAAATAGGTTGATAAATATAAGAGTTTTGCTATGCACAAGAAATTCCTTAAGGAATTAGAATAATAGATGATTTGTTACAAGCCTATGTTACAATTAATATTTGTTTTATGTTTGTGTGCTACTATCAACAAAACATGCGATCCACCACTGAGCTTAAACATCGCATTCTATACTTCCTAACCTATCGTGAAGTTTGAAATTGGGAACACATTAGATCGGCATGTTGTGTTGATCGCAACTTGGGGTATATATGATTGCCCAAGTAAGTAATCCTAAAGTAGTTTTTTGACGTTTAACAAGAAAATACCTAAGTCACATAAGAGTGTAATATTAAGGACAATTTCGGAATGCATTCCCAAAAACTACCTGAAATGAAGACGAGCAATAAATAGCCGAAATGCATGAACAGCTACGTATGGCAATATTTGAGATAGTTCTATCGTAGATTAAAAGAAGTCCTTTTATCTATGGTTCAATGTAGAACAATTGCTTAAAAACAATGATTATTATAAGTTGTATGTACATAATTTAATATAATAGACCTTATAAGGTTTTGTGAAGACTGTTTGTGCGATTATATATAAACCAGAACTGTAGGTTCATCAAATGACATTACCAAGCAATCATAGAAAAAAACGATACAAAGGATACCGAATGTAAGTAATGTACAAATGTTTATTTGTGAAACTTCTTGTATGTGTTGATGGTTCTGAGACAAGTTGTATTATATAGATATAAAGTGCTGTTTTAATGTATTTCTTTAGCCTTTTAAAGTATTGCTACCTTGATTGGCTTTCACTCTTATGATCGCAATCCTAGTAACATAATAGGTACTCTATATTGCATCCTATACAGTTTACACAAAAGTACAGAATTTAATTATGACATTTAATATTATTAAACCAAATTGGAGTACAGGTAAAATAAGTATCGCGTAAGTATTTCATGACGGTTTGTTAAAAAATGTTCACTCAAATGTGTTAAAACTTTTGTAGCTTGAACTAACATTTCGGAATCCAGACAGATTGCAAAACTTGTACAGTACGGTATGACATAAATTAAATGTAACATGACTAAAAAATAAGATGGGACAACAACGATAATTAAATTGTAAATAGTGATGTAGTTGTTTCTAAAATTGGTTCTCGCTCTTCGGTAGTACCATCAAAAAAAACAACGTCAAAATAATAATGGTTTCGGACAATTGAGTAAGGCCTGGGAAGCATCTCAAATACGGGTTATTTATTTCACGTGATCAGTGAGGGTTGCGTGCGGCCTTGAGAGGTCAGCGCCCTTATATACAAACAATGCAGGGGTGAGGAAAGAGAAGTCCAGTCAGCTGCTTTGGAATGCAGTGGTCCTGTCTGTGGAAGGGCAGTGACGGCCATTATAAACACACCAAGCACTGATGGGTAGGAAGGGAGAATGTTTGTTTAGTGATTGATATATCATCTCAAGTGTCAAAATATTGTCTTCACTTGATGTTGATGTTCATTATCTGACAAGTTTAAGGTCATTTGTTTCTGTTGTAGTAGTGTAAAAATGTGACAATGTTTGATTACAACACAAGTACCAGGAGAGCTTACTCGAGGTGGCAGGTTATTTCATATGTAGCGATGCATATTTGGCTAAATACACTCTCGCCAATTCAGTGAATACAAAAAGACTATTTAAATGCCTATCGTATTTCGTATTCGTATTTCAGGAGAAGACCTCTTGTTCATCTTTACATGCAAACACTACGTAAAATATCTTCTGGGCCGTGACGGACAGACAGACAGAAATTGAGAAAAAACATTAAAAGTTTTTTAATGTATAAACGCAAAAATAACAGAAAATATGTCATTCTGAACAGTGTACAGACAAACAAAACTCTAATTTTATTTGCAGATATTTTATATACAGCACCATTTGATTAACTGTATTTTTTCACTTCTATAACAGATTTCGTTTCTCATGACGCTTGATGAACGACTTATACACCTAATAACAACTTACTTAAATAGGCAATCCTAACGAACTACTGTTGCAGTAAACTTAACTGTTACACATGTTTGAAATTTACAACATCTTGCATAATTACAATACTTTGTGCCTGTTGGCTACTATGAATAGTTTGGATTAATTTAAGATATTAAACTTTTTTGATATAGGCCTACACAAGGTAAATTGGCCTCCATGTTACCCAAAATTATACACAGGTCCTATATATATACTAGTGTACATGTTGCTCAAATTCAAGCAATTGCAAAGTATTACAGGGGTTATTTCAAAACCAATAACAGTCATATTTAAAAAAGTTTAACTCAAAGTTTAAAAAGAGTTTAAAAAGAGTCAACTCAAATATTACCATTGTGTAACTCAGACCCTGATTACCTAAATCCCTGATCTTCGTTATTGATAAACCTAAAGCATTCCGGCTGGTTTTCTCCTTCTCAAAATGCCTCGCTGTACAGGCAACACATGTCATTGATAGAGGGTCAAATTGAGAACGAAAAGTCTTTTAGGGGTAGTGTTAGCTCGCATTCGTAACCTAATAGTTGAGATTGTCCAGGGTCAGGTGCTGACGTGTACGCCTCCTTTCTATGTTTCGTTGTGGTCGCGTCGGAGGCATTTAAAAGAAAAAAACAACAAATAAACAAATTATAGCTACACAAAACAACGATAAATGCACAAATTTAAGTTACAATCATGCTAACACGATCCGTCATAGCGACACAAAGCAACGATAAATATATAAATTCAAGATACAACCATACTAACACGGTCCGTTTTCGTTTTGGGGGTTATGTTTACACAAACTCAAATAGTAAATAAATTTACTCAATGCGTTTCATTGAATCGAAAAATAAATAACAGCAATTAAATTATACAGCTGATCAAAATGTAAACAATTTTGTTCTTCATAAGGATAACATGGGAACTTTCAAAGCCACTGGGGCAGAACCCAAGGGACTTTGTAAAAAATGTAAGGCCAGTTGGCAAATCTACGCGACACGCTCTTTCCAATGAGATGTCAATGGATAAAATCGGTTAAGAAATGGTGGAGGAGTTCAACCGACAAAGTTTCATCATAGATAAAACATACTCCCGTTTCATGTAGCGTATTAATTATATATATATATATATATATATATATACACCATATTACCACACTACAAATGTAATTTTACAATATACGGTACGTAGTTTTATCCAAACAAACGATCAAAACCCCCTAATGATATTGTTATTTGATTCAATAGTCAATGCACATAAGCGAGTCTTATCTTTCAAAGCAGATTAAATAATACAAAGGCAGAGGAATGCGCGAGAACGAGGTCACTTCACGGTTGCTATAGAAACGACGAAACTATCCATTAGAATTGCGCGCCAACGTCATCTAAACTCCAGACTGTATAAACACGCCGAGTGTGTAGTGTTCGACGGAGCTAGGCTACTTTCAGTTGGCAAGACTGGCTTCTAGCCTCGAGCGACGTGGTTCAACCACGAGAAGCGCCTCAAACTCCTGGGTAATCCCCGGTTAGCTCCTCCCACTCTGCCCCCTATCCCCACCTAAAAGACGAGCAAGTGGTAAGTCGGTCGGGTCGATTGACGACAAGTTGGTTTCTCGTATATAATAATTTAGTTTTACAGGCCGGTCAACTGGAATGACGATGAAATAACTTGTCGACGTACTGGTTTTCAGTATTTATCTATTTAATTAAAAAGACGGTCTAGTGGCCAGACGACCAAGTATCTTGTCGGTCTACTGGTAGGCTCCCGTTATGATTCAGTGTAAAAATTTTGTAAAAATGTTTTTTTTATTGTAGTTAAATAAAAATTAATAAATTAAATTTATACGGCTTGTTATGTTGCTTGCCTTGACAGTGTTATCATTTATTTGTCGCATCAAATACTGAGGAAATAGGCCTAACCATCTACAGTTTTATGGTTGTATGATTACAAATATATTTTTAGTTACTATCTTGAAGCCTAGAACATGAACATTTTGTATTTAAATTAACCAATTATATGCAAGCGGGTGTTATTTTGATGTTATTTTTCCAATAAATTTGGCTACATTTCAAAACGCAGAGCTGATGAAACCTAAATTTTGGTCTAATTAAATTTTAAGGTTACATTCAAAGTACAGTGTAGAGTAATTTTAAAAATTCCACAATTCTCTTCAAATTTGGTATCAAAATGATCAGGAAATTAAAATATATCCATTAATGCCATTAGATTTTTATATTTTCTTCAAGAAAAAAAATATTGCTCAGAGATAGTGGAGCCAGTAGTATGACTCACCGGCCAGGTCACCGGCTGCCGAGCAGCTCCAAGCACGCACAATAGACTCAAGGGATAAGGCTATTAGTGCGCTCGACTGGTTCCCCCCTGGTTCTACCTCACTCTGGGTTGAAGTTTACTATACATGTTGGTGGTGTGCAGAGAGAGCTCTGCACACCACCATGTACAAAATTATTGGTATTTAAATTGAATATATTACACATGTAAGTAGGATTTTAACAGAAAATTTTCAAAACTATCAGTGCATAAATGGGCTATCAACTCATTATACCAAATCAAACGTCTATACCTCTTTGTGTTACACTCTGTACAGCCTACTAGTGATGAAAAAAACCTTAAAAAAACTTTTTAATAAACATAATATTGGGGTCTGGAATATCTTACAAATGTAAAATGTTGCATGAGCAAAGATTTAATCTTAATTTTTGTAATTTAATAATGTACAGGCAATGGTGAAATGTTGCAGAGTTTATATAACATACTAATTTATTCATCTTTGAATTGGTATATCTTTTCAGAAATCGAAAAACCAATTGATACTATATTCAATTGGGGAGATGTAATAATGAAGGTACTCAGCTCTCGACCGGATAAAGAACTTTCACTCAAGAAACTTGGCAAGAAGGTATTAAATGAATACCAAACAGTGAGACAAGACCACAGAACATATGAAGATCTGTTGGCAAAGTTCAACAAAAAAGTCAATAAGGTGAAGGGTGTAAAGGTTCTACGAGATAGAGCAAAACTGATTGAGTAATTAATTATATTTCAGGAATCATTTTTACACACTTATTACGTCTTTGTTTTTCCTTTATACTCAACCTTTAGGTCCTATTATAAGTGTAAGTTTTACCAGCCTAAAGTTAATCCTACAAAACTATTGCTGGCGATTTTTTTCAGTTATTTTAAAAATAACTAAGCTATGCCTTAAAACGTTGATTTTAACTGAGTTTTTAATAGTGTTCACCTTCAAATCTGAAGGCTGCTGGTTTGATGCTGAGCGGGGCCCGATTCTGAATGGAGATGCCAATTGCCATTGGGCTGTCAATTAATTTGGGCAGGTCCCCCCCCATTGATAAATGTAAAAGATGTCACTAATGTAAAGAAGTAAATTTAAAAACACGTACAATTGTACTTTTCAACCAGGCAAGAGCGATTTTGCTTTTATACACTGTAATTTCAGTACTGTAAAAAAAACAAAGTATCAGCTTTTAATTTTGTTACTTTTCGTAGGCTGTACTTAAGTATATAAGTAGATTAGCTGTCAGTCTCTGTGCTGTGTGCTGTTTGATACTTTTATAATTGTGATCATATGTTACTTATTTAGTGTTTACATTTAATTTATTATTGTTTTGAGCTTGATTATTTACTTTTGGGATCTTGGCTAATAAAGTATCTTCTCCTACAGTCACCCGACAAAGTGGCCTTCCTTGCACAGATTAGTACAGAAAGCCTTACTTTGGAGCACAGTTTTTTATTTGGCGCACACCAGTATTCCAACCAAACAATACAAAACAGCGTGCTTTTATCATGGACATAATCCGTGTACGCTTGAAAATAAGTTGGCAACACTTAAAGATATCACGACTACGCTCAGCTGGTACAGTGTTCCCCATTACATTGAATGTTTGGATTTAACCTAACCTAAAAATGTGTTGTACAGTGTTTGAATGACTAATTATTGATATGATTATTGTAGCTGTACCACTAGTTACACAAATTACTATTATTAATCTGTGGTGTGAGTTTTACCTTTTACTTCATGGTGTCAGGTTGAATAAACTTTCGTGGAGAAAGGGAAACAGGAACCTAAGAATGGCTGAAGCAGTGAGCAGTACAGTTCAATACCAACTTGTCACACCTGAATCTTTTAATTTCAGAGAACCTTCTGAATGGCCTAGATGGATAAGAAAGTTTGAAAGGTTTAGATTAGCTTCAGGATTCGACAGCAAGAGTGGGGAAAATCAAGTTATTATGCCTTTATACTGTCTAGGAGATGAAGGAGAAGACCTTCTAACATCTTTCGGGTTAAAAGATTATGAATTACAGAGTTATGACACTGTCAAGGGTAGATTTGAGTCTTACTTAGGTTTCAAAATCAACATTTTATATGAGAGAGAGAGCTAAATTTCTAAAAAGACGTCAGTCGGAGGGGGAACTTGTTGATTCTTTTATAAACAGTTTACACAAACTAGCAGAGTGATGTAAACCTGGGGAATTAAAATATGAACTAATTAGAGATTTGATAGTAATTGGGGTAAAGGATGATAAACTTTCTCAAAATTTACAGTTTGATGAAAAATTAACTTTAAGTACAGCAATTTTGAAAGCAAGACAAGCAGAGAGTTTAAAACAACGACAAAAAGTTGTGAGAAAATCACTGCAAATTGAGTTTGTAAACAATAAAGGGAAATAATAAAACCCTAAAAATCACTTCTTGAGTAGACATAGAACTTAGCTGTGTTAAAATAATTAAAGACAATTTGTATGTTATATCATTGTATAGGTCACCTCGTGGCAACATAGATATATTTTTTGAGAAATTTGAATTAGCCGTGAAGAAGGTTTTATCGAGGGGGACCAAAGTTATCGTCTGCGGAGATTTTAAGTTTTATTTTTTAGAAATGATAACAACTGATAACAACAACTCAATTTTGTTTTTGAACTTATTAAGATCAATTAATTTATACCGTACTTAGACCTCACCCACCAGAAACAATGCCTGTTTGGACAACATTTTAGTTAACTTCTCCCAAGATCTGTATGAAGTTACCTCAGCTGAGGGTCACTTTGCGGACCATACTCCACTCCTTTTCACTTTAAAATCTAATATTTCATATACCAATAAAAACTGTAAAACATCACAACAAACTTCTTATTACCGATCACAGAATAATAATGTTATCCAGCTATTTACTAATGAATTAATAAAAGAGAAGTGGAGTATGGTCGAAGAGTACAAAAACGGCAAGATAAATGTTAATACACTGTTTGATAGCTTCTTTAGAAGATATGTAGACCTTTGGCATTTCTGTTCACCATTATTAAAATGTAAAAAAAGCAAACCTACAACTAGTAAACACAAAATTAACTGGTATACCAATGAGTTAAGAGTTGAAAGAGACAAAATGCTGACTTTATTTCATATTTACAAAGATTTGTCAAGGAGTGGCTCTGGGATGCATTGCACGACGTCCAAGTGCCACGACGTCCAATAATATTTATTCAGTGCCACGACGTCCAAAACATAATTTTTGAGTTGTTGCACGACGTCCAAGTGCCACGACGTCCAAAAGTACAGTGACTGCCAAAAATATAGTCTTTCTACAAGCTTTGGACGTCGTGACACTTGGACGTCGTGAAACAGCGCACTATAGAATTGTAAAAAATTTACATTTGCGGGAGTGATGCACGACGTCCAAAGTCGCTGCCAGTTGCACGACGTCCAAGTGCCACGACGTCCAATAAATATTTGACTGTTGCACGACGTCCAAGTGCCACGACGTCCAATAATATTTATTCAGTGCCACGACGTCCAAAACATAATTTTTGAGTTGTTGCACGACGTCCAAGTGCCACGACGTCCAAAAGTACAGTGACTGCCAAAAATATAGTCTTTCTACAAGCTTTGGACGTCGTGACACTTGGACGTCGTGAAACAGCGCACTATAGAATTGTAAAAAATTTACATTTGCGGGAGTGATGCACGACGTCCAAAGTCGCTGCCAGTTGCACGACGTCCAAGTGCCACGACGTCCAATAAATATTTGACTGTTGCACGACGTCCAATATAGCTCAGCGCTGTTGCACGACGTCCAAGCTCCTTCATGATGACCGGTTACGATGACCGGCTACTTGCCGAATAGTGTTCTCTCGTGTAAAATGCTTATGGAACGTTTATTAGTTATATATACATGAGTATATGTTCTGGTTCAGAAATATATATACTATGAATATTTGAACCATTAATTGAAACATCATTAAGTAAAAAAAACATAAAAAGAAAAAAATAAACAAGGCAACAGTTGGAAAACTATAAGGTTTACATGGTAATCTTATGATAATAATATTATATCCTTTACTGAAAATGCAAAATTTTTGGGTTTAAATATCGATAAGAATTTAACATGGAAAACACACATAAAAATGGTAGTTGGTAAATTAAATACGGCTTGCTTTCAAATGTATGTTTTGAGAAATGTAATAGATTTAAAAACTAAACTCACAGTGTACTATGCAATGTTCTTTTCTGTCTTGCAATACGGGATTGAATTATGGGGAGCAACTTCTTATTCTAAAGCAGTTTTCAAAATTCAGAAGAAATTTATAAGGATTTTATCATTTATGCCTAAAAGAACCTCATGCAGAGCTTTATTTGCTAAATATGAGATATTAACTTTGCCTTCACTTTATATATTTAAAATGATGGTGAATTTTAAAATTAATTATCAAATGTACAATGATAAACAAATCAGTCATCCATATCTTACACGCTCAAAAAATTTTCAATATCCAAGACATCGCCTTTGTTTATATGAAAGATCTCCTTATTATATGGGATTAAGGCTTTACAACAGTCTACCCACTAATTTCAAAGAAATTAACAGTATTTCAAAATTTAAAAATGATTTCAAACGATACCTTTTACAGAAAAATTATTATAATATTTCCGATTATTTAAATGATAAGTAAATATATTTTAGTTTAAGCTATGTGGATTTTAGTTTTGTTATGTAACTTAGTGTTTAAGATCTCTGACAATATCACCTGTTTCACCAGCTAACGCTGGATCTGTGAAATGTTTTGTGATAATAAAGTAATATTTCATTTCATTTCATTTCATTTCATTTCATTTCATGGTTTGAAAAATGATGACATTTTCTTAACAACCGATCAACTTCATTATGTTTGGAGTAAGCTTTTAAATACTTATTTTTTCAAGACAAGATGAATGTACATTGATCAACATGATCTTTGAAAACTATTTTTTATACCCTCATTTTAATTTTTAATAGTATAAAGAATAGAATGCCTTTTTCGAACTGTTTTTTAGGCTTCAATTAAATGTCTTTATGTAGCAAATATGTTTGTTAATAGTATTCACTTAACATTGACTTAATTTCATTTCAATAAATTTTGTGTTTGTGTTTTGCTACACCACTTATTAAATTGCAACCAATGAGAATCTATATAAATAAAATTGGTGTTTTGTCTGTACATTGCTCAGAATCATTCATTTGTAGGTTATTTTTACGGTTTATACATTAAAGAAGCCGAAACAAGTCTCATCTAAATTTCTGTCTGTCTGTCTTCCTGTCTTTCTGCAACACTCAAGATGACATTTTACGCAATCTTCTCCAGGAAAACGAGAGTACATATCAAGATCCAAGTCATTTTAATGTATTCACTGGATTGGCGATAGTGTCTTTAGCCATTAAAATATGGCCTCACTACTTAGTAAATAATATTACGGACTTAAAAAAATGCAGTTTTGTGCGATTTTTGTCAAGTTTTCGTCCAATTTTTATCACATAATGATCTATGAAATAACGAACAGCTGTTCGGATCAAGATTATTTTTTCTCGCTGTCACTGATATGTTTACGAATACCACAACCATTTCCGATCACGTTTTGAAGGCAAAGCCCATTTATCCAAGTGAGATTAAAATCGTTGTCTTACATAACGGATTTAATTAATCGCAAGTGGAATAATATAGTGAAACCGTAAATGAAATTTAGTAACATCATCCAGGTTAGGAACCAGAGATTCTTTGTGTATAAAATTGTTCTT